ATGGCGGAACCACTATATTCGAAGGACCTTGGCTGGTATTAACTCATATATATAGGTCAGCCTCAGACTACTTGATTGATTCTTTTATATTTGATTAATGCATTTTTTTTTAAATTCGTGGTGAACATTATACTATGAAGTGAATTCAGACAACATTATTCTTTAATTTACAGTAAATATTGACATCAGAACTTTTCTAAAAAGGAAATATGCTTTTTCAATCTCATTTGAACGATGGGTCGTTGGTGGAAAGTGATAATGTTGAATTTGGCAGTGACATTGCGAAGAGAATATATTAAATTTCTTGTTTTTATCCTTTCAGCCAGTGAGGATTGAGGCCTACCAACGAAACCCTCCAAAAGTACGATTCTCTGTTCTGGTCTCAATCTTAGAAAAGAAAGAAATTTACAAAATGAGAAAAGACTGATTTAAACCCAGGAATTGAAGTAAAAATTTAATACAACAGCATATTCAGTTACTATAAAGAGACATAGGGATGAATATAATGTTCTTCAATATCATTATCTTTATCGATTTTTAGGTTCTTTTTTTTCTGGTGATAATGTTGCAGACTGAGGATGATGAGATTGGTCGTGTATATAAGAATCTGGAAGGACCACACTTTATGAATTTATTCATCCCACACTGTTAAGTCGTAGCCATCAACTGAAAAATGACTTTCAGATTTGAAATCTAAAATAATTGATGCCCCTAGCTTAGCTTTGTGTGTTTTTGGTTATTATGTATTTGGCCTCATTGGTTATTCTTTAAGCTATAAAATAATTGGTAATTGTTTAAACTTTGTATCTGATGAGGATATATATACGGATGCATGTATGTATGGATAGGCTAGATGCAACTAGTTTTGCAGCTTTCTAGAGTTCATTATTTGTGTTCAAAAAAGTATAATATCAGTCCTCACGATCCTAATGCTCATATTAGTGCTCGATACATGTTGTGACCAACTTGAGCTACCCATAGTCATATGCCACATTAACCTTGGAATCAACAGGTTTCCAGCATTAGTCATATGTCACATTAACCTTGTCGACAGGCCGATTTTCAGCATGTGTTCAGTGCTCTAACACTAAATAGAAAGCTTTCGCCTACTTGTAGAGTGATCTCATTTTTAAGACCTCTAGTACATTTCGTGACCTAGTTAGAGCGTAGCCTCCCAAACTCACTTGTAATCAAAACTGTGATTTAATTTTAGTCTCTATAATGTTTTGATCGAGTTAGTTGTATTGATTTGTAATTGTCATATAGGTAAATCGATATATGTCACTTTTTATTGTTCCAAATTAAATTATTGTGATTTTGCCTTTTGACCTCCCTGACTCCTTCCACTAAAAATGACAATAGGTAGTTAAAATTTTATCAATTATTAAAAACATCCCTTTCAGTCGTAATATTAAATTTAGCGACGAATCAATACGCTAAATTCCGGTAATAATAAGTATTTTTGGACAAATGAATGCATTACACCACACGTCTAAAAGAAAACTTTACCTAATGAATGTGTTAATCAATTATTGACTAAAAAGGGGGGGTTTTTTTTTTTCTCGTGCAGTCAATCATGACATAGCAAGTCAAGCAAAATAAAAAATAAATAAATAAATAAAAATTGTCTAGCTACTATACGCACCAAAAATAATTTTCTTAGATAACAAATCTGCATTATATGTAAATCACACTGTCGCTGGTGAGACTCGATCTCTCTTTCAAAGTTTCACCTCTATGACCAATTGAGATGCTCATGTGGGTATATATATAGCGGATCACGTGCAAATATAACTTCTCGTGTGATTGTGCGGTTAACATAAAAAGACGCACCTTAAGCACATAAACAGAGCACCTTAAGAACACAAACCACGCACCTTAAGTTTCAACAATTGACCCATCTGGCCTTAAGCATACAAGTCATGCACCTTAAGAAGGAAAACAATGTAACGCACCTTAAGAAGGAAAACCACGCACCTAAAGCTTTACGCCGATGCACCTTAAGTTTCAACAACTGACGCACCTTAAGCCCAAAAACCACACACCTTAAGAAAAAAAATCATGCACATAAAAATTTAGATCGACATACTTAAGCTTTCAACACCGGCCCTGCCGCACCTTAAGCCACATAGTACAAAAACCACTCATCTTAAGCACAAAAACCACGCACATTAAGAAGGAAAATCACGCACCTTAAATTTGACCTAGATGCAAAAAGACCAAATTGCCACCGCGTGATTTTCTAATCACTGTTAATCCTGGACGTTGATTTAGGCAAGATCAATGGTTCAAATTTAACTGCACAACTGCACGGGACACACTCAACCGCATGGGATCTAAATTATATATATATATATATATATATATATATATATATATATATATATATATGTATATATATATATATATATGTATATATATATATATATATGTATATATATATATATATATATGTATATATATATATATATATATATATACATATATATACATATATATATATGTATATATATATATATGTATATATGTATATATACATATATATGTATATACATATATATACATATATATATATATACATATATATGTATATATACATATATACATATATATATATATACATATATATACATATATATATATATATATATATACTAGTTTTTTACGCACATTGCGCGATTGGGATAATGCCCAATATTTTTTTTAAAATAAGTACTTTAAAGTATATCAATGCAAGATTATATTGGAATTGTTCATGCATAGATAATTGAATGTGAAATTTGCGTATTTGAATAGGTAATTCTAAGTTTACAAATGCAATATAATATACTTAATTGAATGTTACTCATGCACCGCGTTCGCACACATTTAATTCGCGTTCGCACCCACTTAATCTAATCTAGACAATTAAAAAATATTAAATGAATGCATACGATTTTTTCTCACGTTGTTCTCATATGATCCGATATATATATATATATATATATATATATATATATATATATATATATATATATATATATATATATATATATATATATATATATATATATATATTGAAAGGTTCCCGTACGGTTGAATGCTTCCCGTGCGGATGTGCGGTGGATTAATGTGCGTGTAATTTGTACTCAATGTGCGTGAGTGTTGTGCTTAATATATATGCCTAAGATTTGTACTTAATGTGCGTGAATGTGTAAAATGCAACAAAAAATATTGATGTCAGCTTCTTCCCCGTCCTCAGTAGCCATTTCCCCCTCCCTGATGATGATGATGCGGAGGCGAGCTATGGTGGTTAAAAATTATGGGAATAATACAATAGAAATCCACACTTAGCTGCTGTGCAAATTTTACTGTGCGTGCGTCATTTATATAAACATTCAACTACACTAAAGGTAGCTGATAATCCAGAATCCATGGCCAAATTGAAGGAAGAAGTAACAAGAAACTTGGGCGTTAATGTGCGTGAGTTTCTGTTCTGCTTCCTTCTGAGCTCGTAATTCTGAAATACGCACGCACATTAAGCACAAATCTCACGCACATTAAACACAATACTCAGGCACATTAAGTACAAAACTCACGCATATTAACATGACGCACATTAAATACAAATCTCAGACACATTGAGTACAAATCTCACGCACATTAAGTATAAACCTCACGCACATTAATCCACCGCACATCCGCACGGGAAGCAACAAATGCACTTGATCTCTTCCCTATATATATATATATATATATATATATATATATATATATATATATATATTTGCGATATGATTAAAAACGTGAAAAGAAAGAATACAAAAAAAATTCTGCACATACATTTGTACTATATATTCAGCTAGGGACAGGTCCATCCTCAAACAAAACAAAACAAAAATGGACACCTTGAAATTCAGCATAGCATTAATTAACAACCCAAATGCCGTTGAAGCAACCTCAGCTACTTTTCACTTCCTCACTCCAAACAAAATATACTAAACTATTGTCATGCTCTTCCTCCTATACGGATTCCATGTATATCAGATATGATTCATAATAGGAAGACCCTTGAAATTTTAGGGAAAAAAAAATAATCTTAGTTGAAGACAATAATTTAACTATTTGTTGGTTGGAGGTCTGAAAACCTAGTATCTTGATGCCGATGAACATTGGAAATACAATAGTAGCCACCGACTGACATTCGAAACATGATGCTAACTGTTATGCAATTATAAAGAAATAAAATTAGTGACAAGAGAAATCCGCAGTCACTATCCGAGGGTTTGTACCGGGTAAATCCCGTCTTGTGATTCTAACTAGCCGGCAAAGGACCACAAGGAAGTAAACTAGTTTAGGTTGACCTGCTCAAACCAAGAAAGTTAGGATTCCCCCACCCCACCCCAGGCCGACATAACATTATTTGAGAGAATGTAAATCACGGTGACTCAATGATTCATCAAACAGGCCAGGGCCAATGTTTGTGTGCACAAGGGGATTTGTTCACTTTGAACATAATCTCCATATTGCTGCTCCCGAGGTTCGAACCTTGGTCTCTTCTCCTAAATGCTGAACCAATGAACTAAGCCTGTGCGGGCTACAAATTTGTATCTTTAGCAATATTGGCTTGGCTAGGCTAGGTAGGGTTACATGCATTTAGTGTAGTGATCTGATAAGATGCTTATTCTAACAAGCTTAAAATTTTAAAATATCACTCACTAAGCAGAGTAGATATGGTGTATTATATGCCATTGATTTTCACACAGGTAGTGTAATATATTAATCATTGAAATGAAACCTAGCTAGAGCCAAGCAAGAGTAAAGATATAGTTATTATTTTCAAAAATGTTCATCATGTACCATAAATAAGGCTAAAAGTACACGCATGCATACAGTGAGTAATTAAGAAGCCAGTGGAAATGTCTACCACATACAAATTAAATTAATATAATGCAACCCATCCAGGCCAGCCAGTATAATACAAACTATTATACTTTTTTTTTCTTTTTTTTGGAATTAATTCAAGAAAAATGTGGAGACGAAGATGAAGATGAAGATGAAGATGCATTGTCTATGGGATTCTCAGTCTCATCCTCAGCTTCCTCTAGCAAAGACAAAGAAGAACAAAAAGATAAAGGAGAGGTGAAGGAATGGGTAGTAGAAGAAGAAGAAGAAGAAGAGGAAGATAGTTGACAATGGCTATAAGTATTGATTGAAGATGTTAATGAAGAAGAAGAAGAAGAAGAAGAAGCCATGGATGAAGAGGAAGAAGCGACATTAATGGTGTCAGATTCTTCATTGGCTAAACTCTGATTCATGAAAAGCTCAACCAGCAAGTCCACAAAAGCTCCAACTATGTATCCATGGCTGCTTTTCCCATTGATTCTCAGATAGCAAGCCAGGAGATCTTCCAGAAACTTCCAATCTTGAGGAAACCCGCCGCCGTGGGCTTCCACCATCTCCGCCATTGATCTCCTGAAATCAGCAAAAGGGTTTCTAGAAGCGATTTCCATCTCCACACTCTCCTTGAACACAAAACTCTCCCCGCCACCGCCGCCGCCACCGGCGGCCACCCTCGGCGGCCGATCTTCCTCTTCCAACAGCTTCGAGGATCTCGCTCCCCCGGGCTCGAAGAACAGCCTCTCCGACGACCTCAACCGGCGAATCACATTCTCTACACACTCGCCGCCATCACCAAAACTTTCCGGTGCCGACGAGAAGCTCTCCGCCGCCGCCGCCGCCGCCGGAGACTCACCCCAACTCACGGAGGAACATCCATCAACCACATACGCCGAGTTCAGAGTCTTTAACATGCTGTGACTGTCGCCATCGGCTCGGAAGGAAAGCGTTTTGGGATTGCCAATAAAGCCGCAGCTCGGCCATGGCGGCCATGCTTCTGAGCTTCTGAACAGAAATGGAAGCTTCATTTTCTTCCCCATTTTTTTTTCTGCTTTTTTACCTTGGATCGATGATGAAGAAGAAGAAGAGAAATGAATATATTTTCTTGGCTTGTTGGGCGATGGGAGAGATGCCCTTTTTCTGCACTGTTAAATGTTGCAGTTAATGTTGTAGACAGGGTCGTTGTTCAATTCAATAACCAGATTTAATTTTAAATAAATGGATTTATTGCCACTTCTATAACAATAAATAAATATTCAATTTTGTATTTATATTCATTATATTTCTCCCTTTTTTTAATATGCAATTTTTTTAAAAAAAATATGAAATATTCAAAAATGTAAAATAAGATGTACCATACTAGAAAAATTGGTGCTTTAATGGTACCCGAGTGTGGGGTATTGACTCTTTGTGTTTCAGTAAGTTGAGAAAGTATATATGAGAAGATACTACATTGTAATAGAGTCAATAACATTCAAAAAAATGTATGCAACTCCATAATTAATAGTATTACACATTTTTTGAGTACTATTGGCTCTATTACTATGTATTATTTGTCTATACATACTTTCTAAACCTATTGAAGCACAAACAGTTAATGTCCCTGCTAGAGTTTGAACATGTGATCTCCCATTTGAAACAATAATCATCATTTAGTATCGTTACTATGTTTGTTTGTTAAAATAAAGGGAAAATTGTCAAATTGATCATCTAAGTCAAACGGATAGTGCAATTGAGATCATAAATGCAAAAAGCTAGATCTGAGCAAACATGTGGTGCGATCTGAGCTGTTGATCAAAATAGATCAACGGCTCAAATCTAATAAAAATTTTTAGAAAAAAAATGCACATCCTAGAAGTAGAAGCAGAGTCTAAAAATGGCGCACCTTAAGTGTTACAAAGACGCACCTTAAATGTTAAAATGATGGCACCTCTATCACTCTATGGCTCCCTTGAGGGAAGGTCATAGGATCGAGCCCTGGTGATGAGGTATTGACTCTTTGTGCTGCAGTAGTTAGAGAAGTATAGAATAGATACTACATTGTAATAGAGTTAATAGTATTCAAAAAAAAAATGTTAAAATGGCGCACCTTAAGTGTATAATGTTAGATCTAAATATAATCTAACGATACTGAATAATAATATACGAGAAACCTAACCTCGTAGTCTCGTAGTAGCGGAAGCAGAAGCAGTGCTGACCTCCAACCACAGTTGATGTCTTGTTGTGTTACCTCTTGAACGGTAGACCGTCAGCCATTTGTCCCATACTTGACTCAAAACCACAAATGGTGTATTGGTGTCTATTGAGCAATATAAGTACCGTAACTGAATGTGCTATATAATGAATATGGCTTGTACCCCATCAATCTAACTACTTAGTAAGCTTAGTCAACTTGCACCATTTAATTAAAGCATCTAATATATAATATATATTATACGGGGAAAACTTACATATAACTGATGCACCTTAAATGTTAAAATGATGCACCTTAAATGTTAAAATAGCGCACCCTAAACTTTGAAACGACACACCTTAAGCTTTAGAATGACGCACCTTAAGTTCTCAACTGAAGAACTGATGCACCTTAAGCACAAAAATCATGCACCTTAAGAAATGAACACGATGCACCTTAAACACAAAAACTACGCACCTTAAGTTTGACCAATACGCAAAAAGACCAAATTGCCACCGGTTAGTATAACATATTCAGTTTTATTTTATATACATTGTAGTTTCATTCCAGCACAACTAAAGTTTCATTTTATTTCAACTACAGTTTCATTTGACATTGTACATACAATAGTCTTATTATAACGAGACATGTTATTGAATTTCGTTTTATACTCATTGTAGTCTTATTACAACACCGTATCACTAAATTATAATTATAATTCAATTACAGTTTCATTGGACAATATACACTCAAATATAATATATGAAACTGTTATTTAGTTTCATTTTGTATTACACTGTAGTTTCATTACAACACAACTAAAGTATCATTTTGATATAACTAGAATTTCATTTGACAATATACACTCAATATGTGAGACATGTTATTCAATTTTTTTTATACATACTGTAGTTTCATTTCAGTAAAACTAAAGTATCGTTTCAATTCAACTACAGTTCTATTTGACAATATACACTCAATATGTGAGACATGTTATTCAATTTCATTTCAACACAACTAAAGTATCATTTCAATTTAATTACAATTTCATTTGATAATATATGCGAGACAAATTATTCAATTTCAATTTAGATGCACTGTAGTTTCATTTTGTTATAAAAATATAAAAAATACGAGATTTGTTAAAATTTAACAACAGCCGTTTCTTTACATAAAAAAACAGCGTCGTTTTCGAACCATGATCCACAGTATAACAACCATTTAAATTTTCGTAACAGATTCAGACCTAATTTTTTAAAGCTCGACTTCGCTCGACCTATTTGCCTCTCTATATATACACACACGACAATAATTAAGAGAGTAAACTTTACCTAGAGTATAATTCAACGACCATATATACTATTTTCCCTATAATTAATTTCCTAATGTACGCATGCAGTGAGCTTGTTGGTTGGTGTAAAATTAAATAATAAACAGTATACAGTACTTCTGATCTAATAAAAACTTTAATTGCTACTTCAATTTTTTATTAAAAATTTTTTAATAAATTATATAAAATTAATTAATGATTGTCAGTTCTATTTTTTTTTTTTTTTTTTGAATTTGGTTGGGCATCTATCCCAGAGGTGTCAGATTCTTGGCCACTTCTTCTGCTCTGCAAGACAGCAAGAGTGTTTTCTTTTTTAAAATTTATTTGAAGGGGAGTTCTATTTTGTTGTTTTCTTATATTATATAGTTGTACAATATTTAATACTTCTACTAAGGATTTTATATCATTTGAATAATTGAATTAGATCAAACTTTAGTAGTTATATATCAAAGGACTTTGTGATCATGCAGCATAATTATGGCTCTCTTAAATGAGATGTCATACGTTTGAACTCAAATGGGATATTGACTTTTTGTGTTTCAATATGTTTAGAAAGTAGGTATGGACAAATACTACTATACATTGTAAAAGAGTCAATAGTACTCAAAAAATTATCATTATTATAGATCAAGTCCACTTAGCTTGCAAGGTATATCATGATCTAAAAATTTTACTTTCTTAATTTATTGTATACAAAATAAAATTAAGGAAAAATACATTTTTAGTCCATCAATTGTTTCTTGCTAGTCGTTTTAGTCTCTAATTTTTTACCGTTGCAATATACACTCCTAACCCTTCAAAAAAGTTATAGTTTTAACCCTTAGATCAACAAAACTATTAAACTCTATTAAATATTACGGAATACTTAGTACACGTTTATTTTAAAATTTTATTGTCCTTATTCTTTATAACTTTTTCATTTTTGGTATTTGATCGGCAATATAGAGAATTGACAATATTCTTTCTTAAATTTTTCTCCTTTAATTATGGTACATCGTCTCTATTTTTTCTACACGAACCTATTAAAATCAAATTTTTTATTTTACAAATGAAAATTTGAGACTAAAGAATATTATAATTAAATAAGAAATATTATTGTTAAGGACCTTGTGGTCCATTGGCACCAAATTGCTCCCCTATGTAGGAGGTTGTGGGTTTGAGCCTTAGTGGATGTGGACTATTGACTCTTTGTCTTTTGTTAAAAACAGATACTACATTGTAACAGAGTCAGTAGTACTCAAACAAATAAGAAATATTAAGTATTAAAATACCTATGTACTAGGCAATAATTTAAAAGTTTTGTTGATCTTGAAGTTAAAACTACAACTTTTTAAAAAAGTTAGGAATGTATATCGCAACTCTAATAAGTTTGGGACTAAAACTGCTAGCAAGTAACAATTGAGAGAAAATACATTTTCCTCTAAAATTAATGTATAAAAATATGTCATTAAAAAGTTTAATTGAGATCTACTTATATTATACTATTAAAATGTTTCATTAAAAAGTTTAATTGAGATCTACTTATATTATGCTACTTTTATTAGAAACATTCAATGTCTGGTAGTCATAATGAACTAACTTTGCTTAATTAAAAATTAAATTAGTTGTCAAATCTATTTTAATGCCCTTGAGATTCTACTTGTACAAATAAAATTGATCCCAGGCGCGATTTTAGTTGATTGATGAGGAAAACTTGTGGTTAAATAAAAAAAATCATTTTCAAATTCCATATAAAAAATTCACCTTAGTGTGTATTGTTATAATTCTCCTTTTAAAGTTGTTATGTGATTTTAATTATTTTGAACACAAAAACTTGTGTGATTTTTTTCATATTAGATGTATAATACTTTTTAATGAAGATATAATATCTTTTCTTTATAATTCATTAAAAAAAATTTATATTTTCGTTAAAAAGTATTATATGTTTCACATTCGACAATCTCACACAAGACCAATTAATCTCTAAATGTCTACTTTGTTTAGTGTATATTGTTATTACTTATTCAAATAAGCCTATAAATACAGACATATTTGTACTTTTCTAATATCATCAATACAAAAAACAGAATATTATTTCTATTTTAATATTATTTACTGTTTTATTAATTTTTCTATCATATATTTCTACTTTTCTGATGAGTTGTATTATTATATTAACATGTATTGCTCCGTTTACTATCATAATGTTATATAAGTTATTAGATCATCCTCCACCGTTCTTATTTTTAGGAATTTTTACATGTGTGATTATGAAAGAGAAAATGGGAGGAAAGAAAAAGAAGAAAAAAAATAAAACAAAACAAAATTTGAATTAAAAAAAAATAAAAAAAACTCGCATTAACGCGCCCTACTAGGCATTCCTGCCTTCCTGGTGCGCCTCACACATGGCAATTTATATCGTGCACCAGGGCACGCATTGCATTGTGCGCCCTGGTACAAAACGACGTCATTTCGGATTTTATTTTATTTTTTTTTTGAAATTTCGCTATCCTGTGTTGGTTTTTAATTTTCTTTAAAAAAAAATCTCATGTTCAAAA